GGAATTTTATGGTATTGATGTAGTAATTTATGATTTTTTAGTTATTCTAATGTATATGTAAAACCTAAAAATTTGTTTCGTATCCTCCACGTGTAAAATGTTAAAAGGCTTAGCAACTTGCGTCAAGCAGCAACTGAGTACAAAGGTCGTAACTAGAAGAGATAACTGTTCGCTTTATTTCTTTATGTACTGTTCTATGTTTTAAGAAAAATAAATTTAAGAACTTATTTGTAAATAGCAATAATCTATATACATATATAATGTATAGTAATTGAAATGTGACTAAAACAGAGTTAAGATAAGTTACTTTGTACAGACCAAAGGTTAGTTTTATGTTATTCGATACGGTAACATGAGCCGCATCATTGTAACTTCTGTATTGTTAGCCAAGCATGGCTGAAAGGTCAATATAATAAAAGTAATAAATATATATAAATGTATAATGTTATGAGATTTAAGCTATTTAGTCTAGACATTTATGTTTTTGTGTTATAATTTGTGTTCATTCTAGAATGAAAGAGGCATAATTTATATTTATTTCCTAATTTTTGATGGTGGTTGCAAGATCGGTCAAATCTACCGAACTCATACAGAGATTAATTACTAAAAATAACAGATAAAATTAAAAATTTTTTTGTTAAGAAACATTTGATAACTATCTAGACATTATAAAGATTTCACATGTGAAATTTCAAAATTTTCTGATGCATAAAAGTATTTTTAGTCTTAAAATGAATATTACTTTACATGATAGATAGGTAATATGTGAAAAGAAAAAAAAGATATGAGAAAAACATTGCTTTACAAACTTTAAGACTTAATAAAAAAATATATATATATTTTGCATATGAAAGCATTATAATATTTACTGATAATCTGCCAAATTTCATTAACATTTGCTTTATAATTTAAAAGCTATAGCATGAAAAACTAACAAGCACAAAATGGTTGCGAGGTTAGTCCCAGGGACCAAGCCCATGCTGAAAGAGTTAAGGGTTAGAATGCTAGTGCTAGGGGACAAAAATGTAAATTTTGGTAGGGAAGGAATCATCTTCAGCTAAGACTTTTTTTTTTTTTACTGACAGGGTGGTTGGCCTATGGAATGGCTACTCTCAGATGTAGTAGATGCAGTTAATTCTAGGGAGTTTAACAAAAGGCTTGATAAACAGGGCTGGCCTTAGGAGAGTATGGGGTCTGAGGCAAGTACTCAGAATTAGGTTCTTGAGTTTGAATACTAGAAGTATGCAATTGACTCTGCCGCTGAGGCCAACCCTGCTGACAAGTATTTGAATGATAAGGGCTGGCTTTGAGTGTTTTATTTTCATTTTAGAGTTTAGTATAGTGGATGGGATGACCTAGATGGGCCAACACGATCCTTGTTGTCCTTTAATGTTAAGTTTGCTACAAAACATTTTGAAACTACTCACAATACGTAGAAACATTAGATCAATCTGTTCTTTAATATGAAAACACTAAAGCAATCAATATATCTAAGGACAGAAAATATTGTTAGACGTGTATAATTTAACTTTTGTGTGGTATTATTGTTTGGAACAGGACTGATTACAGTTCATGGATAAAAATACAGGCCTAAAAATTATAATTTT